TACATACATACATACATACATACATACATACATACATACATACATACATACATACATACATACATACATACATACATACATACATACATACATACATACATACATACATACATACATACATACATACATACATACATACATACATACATACATACATACATACATACATACATACATACATACATACATACATACATACATACATACATACATACATACATACATACATACATACATTACATATATACATACATACATACATACATACATACATTACATACATACATATATAGATGCATACATACATACATTCATACATACATACGAGAGAGGGAGATTGGGGAGAGAGTGGCTTGGGGGGATGGGGAGGATGGGGAGCGGAGGGAGGGAGAGAGGCCGACAGAACACACCAGGGAGACAAGGGAGACAGGAAGAAGGAGAAAAGGGAGAGGACAATGTCGGCGGACTGAGCCGGAGGCTCTAAAGTATTATGGTATGTTCTTATTATCATTTTTATAGTTGCTATTGTGTGTGTGTGTGTTTCTCTCACGTTCTATGTTCCTTCCCTTTCTATTTGCTTTCAAGGGTCACTATGCCATTAAATGCATAGTTCTGATATAAGTGATCCTACTATTTCCCGGGGAGAAAACAAATCACCAAAAGAAAAAATGAATCATATGCTTTGTCTTTCTATCTGTTTGCTATCGTATGGCCCCGGATTAGAGACAAGAAAGATAGAACATGGGATGTGGTTGAATCTCCTGGAATTCTCTTCGCCAGCAGACAGGAAAAGGATGAGAAGAGAAATGAACAAGACGAAGAGATTGCAAGGAATTTGTAAATAACCGTCCATAACCAAGGGTTCCTGACCATTGACTGCCAAGGAAGAAATCATCCAAAAAGCATTCTCTCTGATTCTGTCTCTCATGGACACTCACATAGAGACGATTCAAGAATCTATTCCTTTCACTCTCATTCTCTTCATTTGTCCGACATCCCATGGAATTACTTGAGGATGTGGAACAAGAATGAGAGAGATGAATGGCGTGTCTTTCACCTACAGCATAGAATGGAGAGTGAAAGATAGAGCAGCCATTGCCATTCTCTCCTCTCCATCATTGACGGAGAGAATCCTAAAGGTAACAAGTAATCCTGGAATTCGAGGGAGATGTCGCAAGTTGTCTCCACGAGAATGCTTCCCTTGGCATCTTTCCTTAGCCCTCACATTTTTATTGCATCTGGGGCTGACTGAAGATGTCTTGAGCTCCCTGCTTGTCTGTCCCTTTCCAGGCACTCCAGGATTTATTGACAGGCCTCTCTCCGCTCCATGTGAGTGATAGAAAGAAAAGGGAGTCTTCACGGTCCAGGCCAGTTCCTTGACCAGACAAGGAAACAAGCTGTCCTTTCCCTCGATTCGCTTCAAGGCTTCTCCGTCTGTGGTTACTTCCTTGAAACACAAAATGATTGAATGGGGAATGAGAGAAGCGAATGGACCCTTGATTCAATTCACTTCATGAATTCTGGGATCTGAGAGAGTCATTTGAAGGGACGAAAGGAGCATAGACAAAGAAAAAGCAAGCGAAATTAAGCACAAGCCCTGCCGTCACCACTTGCTCGAGCATTCCAAACAGCACGCTTTGCAAGAGCCTCTGGCTTGCATCCTCTGAACCCTCTGCAACACACTGCCAGACCCTCTCACCCTTCGTTTCCGTCGAATCGCTGACTGGTGGCAAGCTAGGCGCAAGTCTCCCAGGGCAGAATCAGCTTCCAATTGATAATTTGGAGCCCGGTGGTTTAGTGGTGAAACGGGGGGTGGGGGGGAGGGGTTCCCATTTACCCTCTACAAGAACCAGGAGTTCAAACCCCCAAACCACCAATCCAAACCACCAATTAAGGATAACCTGATAGAGCCCTGCGGGAGAAAAAATCAGCGGCGCCTGATCCAGCGTTTGCGGGGCACCGAAAAAAAGCGCCCAGGCAAGCATGTCGGACCGCTCTTCGCAATTCTTGCACTATCGTCACCACCAGGAGATTGAAGGGAAACACCCCCAATTTCTGACTACATTGTTTTTCAAGTGGAGATTGTCCGAACCCGAAAGCGTCCTCTCTGACTTTCAACTGAACATGTATATGCATGTGTGTATATCTATATATATATATATATGGTACCGTGTTCCGTGTTGCTACCCCCCCCCCCCCCCCGCCCGCCCACATGGTATGGGCCCCCCCCGCCCGGGCCAGAGACTCCGAGCCCCCGGATCCTGGCACCTACGGTCCCACCCCCACCCCTACCTGAACTCGCACCCCGACACCCCGGCACCCCCACCAGGACAAGCCAACCCGCAACCAACCATAAACCAACCCTAAACTAACCCTACACCAACCCTAAATACAGCCTAAACCCTAAACCGTAAACCTCTAAGCCTAAACCAACCCTAAACCAACCCTAAATCAACATAAACCAACCCTAAACCAACCCTAAATCAACATAAGCCAACCCTAAACCAACCCTAAATACACCCTAAACCAAACCCTAAACCGTAAACCCCTAAACCTAAACCAACCCTAAACCAACCCTAAGTCAACAAAAATCAACCCTAAGCTAACCCTAAATACACCCTGGACCAAACCCTAAACCATTAAACCAGAACCAACCCTAAACCAATCCTAAATCAACATAAACCAACCCCAAACTAACCCTAAACTAACCATAAATACACCCTAAATACACCCTAAACCAATTCTAAACCAATTCTCAACCAACCCTAAACCACCACAACCCAACCACAGGAACACAACCACCGGGGGTGGGGAGTGGGGGGTGGGGTGGCAACGCTGTACCATATATATATATATATATATATGTATATATCTGTATATAATTACATGTATATACATGTACATACATGTATATACATGTATATATACGTATATATGTAGATATGTATATATGTACATATGTGTATATGTAGATATGTACATATGTATATATGTATATATGTATATATATATGTATATATGTATATATGTATTTTTTGCATATATATGCATATATGTATATATGCAAATATGTATATATGTATATATGTATATATGTATATATGTATATATGTATATATGTGTATATGTATGTATGTATGTATGTATGTATGTATGTATGTATGTATGTATGTCTGTCTGTCTGTCTGTCTGTCTGTCTGTCTGTCTGTCTGTCTGTCTGTCTGTCTGTCTGTCTGTCTGTCTGTCTGTCTGTCTGTCTGTCTGTCTGTCTGTCTGTCTGTCTGTCTGTCTGTCTGTCTGTCTGTCTGTCTGTCTGTCTGTCTGTATGTATGTATGTATGTATGTATGTATGTATGTATGTATGTATGTATGTATGTATATATATATATATACGTATGTGCGTGTGCCAAATAGGGTGACCCAAAAAATGGCCTCGGGCCGGCTTTGCCTTTGATTTCCGTTTACGCCACCCCCAAAAGGGGTACCTTTCACCTCAAACACAGCCCCTCGAGCCCTCCGCAGTCCCTTGGCCCTTCCCAAGCCGAGAAGACGCAAAAAATCGGAGCGCACAAATGCGCGGGTTCGAGCCGCTCCACGGCTCCACCGCGTTGCTGGAGTCAAGCTCCAAAACCCGGCCGAGTCACAGCCCCCCCGGCTGTCAAATGGCCCATGGCATGGCAACTGAGGCTAGGTCCAGAGAGGTGAGAATGAGGGTACCATATTTTGTTTGTAGTCTATTTTAGTAGGAGAACCCTCCCCCAGCAAGGAAACGGTAAACGGGCACCTAGCTGGGGGACCTACGAGGGCGGTTCACCAGTTGACAGCCGAGGCATTGGGAGGGGATGTATTCTAAAATCAAGAGGGCCCTTTTTAAATCAACGTCTCCCGACTTCCACTAAAAAGTCGTCCGTGCCACCAAATTCGACAAAGGCTGAGCCGAGCTTGACGCGCTCTGCGCCAAAGGCTTCGCGTTTTTTTTTCTCAGGGAAATGATCTAGCTCGTTCGAGCCCTCAGGCGTTTCTTGTTTTTTCAGGCCGAGGGTAGCAACTGCAGAACACGTACTGAAAGGCATAGGAGAAGCCAAATACTCCATAGAGGTGTTTGAATAACATTGGCAAAGGGTGATTCTTCAAGGAACCAGCTTTTTAAAAGGGGGAGAATCTGGAAACCCTGGAGCAGAAAAAGATGTCAAGCCCGGCAAAACGCTCCAAGGCGTTTTCAAGGGGCCAAGATGGGCCTCCCAAGCTGCCCCAAAAAATGTCTCGGCCTTCGGCCGTGGGCGTTCTTCGCCTCGATCGGGGGCGTTCGGGGCTCAAAAGGAGCAGCTGGCTCAGATCTTTGCGCCGACAAGTGCGAGGAGCATTGTGTCTTCGGGTTCACTTAGGGAAACTGAAAGGAAAGCAGAAGCCAGTTTTGGGTCCCCCATTTGGACACCCATGAAAAGAACATCGCCTAGTTTCAGTACTGGTTGTCAGAATGAATGGGCTGAACCATGGACGAAACACAACTCTCTCCATCATGCCTCCCACAACCCGAATTGCTGTGACAAGACAAGGGGAATGATCTAGCTTATTAGAGCCCTCAGGCTTGTCTTTTTTCAGGCCGTCCAAGCGGTAACCCCTGCACATACTTTGACTGATCACAAAACTATACAACTCGTTGACTTGAGACTCTTGCTTACCTAGGTCCTCCAGTAGAGAGGTCAGAATAAGGGTACCAACTTTTCTCTGTAGTCTACTTTGGTAGGGGAGCCCTCAACCAATCTTCGAGGCTGCAAATCCCTGGGCCAGTGAATCACGTGCCCGGCTCTCATGAGAATTACCGGGCTCGGACGCGTATGGTTGCCAGGACTCCCTCATGGAAGCTCCCAGGCCATAAATGGAACTAAGCCGTCCAAAAAGGCGCTGGACTTGTTTTTTATGTTCACTGGATACCCAGAAATCCCTTTTCTCTGGTTCAGGAACTGCTTCAGAAACCTTCAACTCGTGAAAATTATCAGGTATCCTTCTGGGTTTGGCTAGCGCAGCATGAACAAAACAATCCACCAACCGCATCAAATTTTTCGTCCGACTACTGCAGAGAGTGATCGGAGCAGAGGGTCCCTAGAGACCCTGGGGAGCGCGGAGACCTTGGGCTCAGTATCGGCATTTCCAGGTACTCCTCTTGCCTCAGTTGGCCACCATCTGGGTGGCTCGTCTTTTAGAAAACCCTCCACAATGGTGGTCTTCCTTTCGGTTTCCCTGGAAACACAACCTGGTACCCCCCCCCAAAAAAAAAAAAGAAAGAAGAAGGTGGAACTTGAAGAAAATACGGTGCCAGGGCTGTTCTATGCCCACGGAAACATGCACGATGAACTTGGTATTCATTTTCCACACGAGTACTTTTCCTCAAAAAAGCCCGGCTGCCAAACTGTTCAACCTCCGGCTCCCAAGTTCCTGCAAAGGGCGTCCCTAGGCGGAGGGGGGAGGGGCTGGCCCCTTCCAAAGTTCTGACAGACTTTTACACCCTCCGACAATGCATGTGACGATCTGTCTTGAAAAAAAGCCGGAACACCAAACATGGGTTGGCTGCCCTTTGAATTCCCACGCCAAAAAAGAGTACACTGTGCCGGGCTGATATTTCCAACCTGGCCATCACGCAAGGAAACTGACACAGGTGATGCTAAAATCCAGAAGGGGAAATGTAGGGAGCCAATTCCCAACCTTCCCCCGCAATTGCGTTCCCTTTGGAGTTGGTAATTTCGGGGATGTCACTTTGGTCGCCGTATCCAGGTCTTCTTCCCCTAGTTTCCCTCTCCCCCAAAGGGGAGGTGGAGCTTCGCACTTGCCCCGTGGCAACCAGCGGCCGTTGTTGAAGCCTGGCCCAACCAAAAAGGAATACTGGGTGCCAATCCCCCCCCCCTCCCCCCCACCACGCGCCCGCACACAAAGAGACCAAAGAGGGCCAAGGCAAAGGACCTTTTTAGGGTTGGTTGATCGAAAAAAACCGGGACTTCGACAAGGAGAAACACGGCTGGATTCCACAAACCTCGCCGTTTTCACTAGGTCCTCCAGTAGAGAGGTTAGAACAAGGATACCCTTTTTCCGTAGTCCATTGTAGTAGGGGAACCCTCCCAACCAACAAAGCTGGTAAAAGGGCACCTAGCTGGGGGACCCAGTCACGGTTCAAAGGGAAGCCATTTGCCGCCCGAGCAGCAGCATCGTGGGGCGCTGACTCGACACCTGCAGGGAGCCAGGGAAGTCCGTCTTCATACCTCGCATTGACGCGAGGCAGGCGAGGCAGGCGAGGCAAAAGCGCGCAAAGGCGTGGAAGAAGCGGACTCTTCCCTATTTCTCGAGTTCAAAGGGGACTTGTTTCTTTGCACCCCCCACCAACCCTGAACAAAACCGGGAAAAGCAGGCAACACGGCAAGAACAGGCAAGCAATCCAAGAACCCTATTGAACTTGAGACTTTTCGGCCCGTTGGGCGCCCCACCGTTCTCTGCCAAGATCAATCATCGGAATGAAGTTTACACCTAGAAGAGACCAACCTCTGTATCAGACTGTTGATCTTCAAGGAAGATTCTATACTATCACGATGCGGAACGATGACTTTGTGCTTTTCTTGGCGAGTTCTGATTGGCCTCGCAAACCAGACAACTGGCTCAGACTCCAAACCTGAAGCAAGCCCCAAACTTCCAGTGCGGATTTCGGAGGCGGTTTGTGGCTGAATTGGAGACGGTAATGCCGAATGGAAAGTTTCAGAGGTTTCTCTGCGCAAGAATCAAGAAGCTCGAGGCAGATTTGCTCTCAGGCTCGTTGCCTCTTGTGAGATTGCAATGTTCGTTGTGTCCCCTACTCCAAGCTCCCCCTTGTTCAGGGTTGTTTTTCTAAAACACCTGGTTTTCCATCGAACATACCTCCGTTTCTAGTATTTGGAGTAGGAGGTAGTTTGCATGGCAATTTTGGTGGTGCGCCTGGCAGGCATGTCCTGACATCGACCAATAATTAGGAAGCCCAAACATATTCCTCGAACAGGGTTCCGCATATGTCCCCTTTGAATATCACCCGCCAAAAAGGAGTCATGTCAAAATGACCCAAATAGGAGCTGCTTAAACCCACCGAGAGAAATAGAGGGAACCGTGTCAGATGTTGCTTCCAAATGGGGTGTCAACACACTCACAAGAAGCTCAATCCACAGACCTCGCCAGGTCATGTTGACCCACTGGCCTACATGGAACCCTGACTGGGAGTTGAAAGACTTCCTCTACAGCGACTTGGTAGGTAATGTTGACCCCATATGAATCGACCGCAGTTTATGAAAGGGAAGGTGTTCCCCTCCAAAAGTGCTGATACCCCACTAAACCCAGGGACACCCCCCTATTAATAAGCTGGGGTTGACTAAACGGGAAAGCCACAAAACAAAACGCACTCAGCTTTCCAGGCGACAGTAGGGAGGCGGCGGCACCACCTCCTCCATCTGGCCACGGCTGTGTAACTCCTGGCCAAGAGCCGAGAAATGCCGAACGAAGCCCAATTTGCGGGTGGGTCTGGCTTGTGAAGGTACCCGTTTCGAGCTTTTTTCTTCAATCGAGAGCAAAGCGACATTGTTTTGTTGGTGCTGTAGGACACACCCATGTGGCTGTGGCTGTCAAACATGGGGTAAGCCCAAAATGGCTTGCCCTGGCAAATGGCTTGCCAAGGACTAAGACCTGCGGTCCAATTCCTGGTGGTTTAATTTTGACCCACACCCATTTTGGTGCTGAGCTCCCGGTGGTTTCCTTCGAAAACAGCGCCAGGGTTTCGTCTCTAAGATTCAAGATGGTTTCCACTACCCCTAAATCGCTCAAGGGAAAAACCGGATGGCTTAGTGGCTGTAGGATGGCTTCCGAACGCTACCTCCGAAGCCCTACACCCAAAGGTTTCACGGAACATACAGCCGCGAGAATATATGCCCGGGTTTGGAGTAGTGGTTTGGAGGTGGTCGAAACCATCGAGTGCGGGAAAGGAACATCCGAAGATGTACATTCGAATTGGGGGTCAATGTCAACTCCTCAACTGGCCACTTGTTAAAATCAATGAAATCTGACCCCCCCACAATCTCTGCCCCGTGGAACATCATTTTGGAACACAGCCTGCGAGACAAATGGAATTGGGACGCCATACAAGTGGACTTGATATGATATTGATCTAAGCTTGGCATAGCCCTTTCAATGGTACGCTGGGATGTATGGCTAGGATTCAGGTTCCATTGACTAACTTGACATCTCCCAGAGGATGAAAAAACAAACTGCACCAATTAGGAGTGTTCTAAAACTTGACATTTGGAACTGACATTGACACTTGGAACTTTCGTCCAAGTTCCATGGATAAAACACCCACGAGCTGTAGAAGCTTCTTAGATCTTCGCCCGTCTTAGATCTTCGCCCGTGTCCCGCATCAGGGATCCTTAAATTATACACCTGAACATTGCCTTGTTTTCTGGTGGTTTTCCCCCTTATTTTGGTGTTGAAAAAGCCACATGTTTCAAATGGTGGCAAAAGGTAGCCCCGCGCATTCCTTCGTGGGGAAAGCCACTCGTTGGTCGAATGAGTTGGAGCCTCGCGTGGCTTTCCCGGAGACCTGGGACCAGCGAATTTGTCTATCCTGGGTTCCCATTGAGGCAGGAATACGGAGGGTGTGGGCCTGATGCCTTAAGCAACTAGGTCCTCCAGATTTGAGAGGTTAGAAAAAGGGTACCAACTTTTTTCTGTAGTCTATTTTAGTAGGGGAACCCTCCCCCGAAAAGGGTAAAAGGGCACTACTGGTAAACCTCTGTGTGTGTGTGCGCGGCCTGTCCGGGCCTCGGAGGCCTGGCAAGCTACCTAAAACAGCACAGGGCTCTATCGTGACGGGTGTGCGATCAAGCTCGGGTTGTGAGTCGGCGGTCAGACGAAAAGTGAACAACCTCTCTAATTGATGGTTCGGAGCCGAATAGGAACCAGGGACCTGTTCAAATCCCAAACCACCAATCCGAACCACCAATTAGGGGGTACCCTCCCCAACTAGCATGGAACCTGACAGGGGGTCCCTTTAAAAGGAAAATGGTCGTCCAGCACCCCCTGTCAGGTGGGAGGGTAACCTGAACAACGGTTTCCGTTTTCGCCCGTCAAACACAGACTTCGGTGTCATATTGCCAGGGCGGAGCTTTGGGAAAGAACAGCCTTTCCGTAGAAACACACCCCGGATGGGGCCATGTCCTGACCAAAAGCACATCACGAGCCCCTTTCTGGGGGGGTGCAATCCCCAAGTGATGTTCAAATGAGGGTTCATTCCAGCCATCCATAGCCATTTATCCCGAGCACAGTTGTCGATTACGGTTGAGGTCCTAGGTCTTAGATCCTTGTAGTGGTGACTTCCCCTTGTCCATCTTTCCAACCAGCAAACATTTTAGGAGTCCTGGCTGTTGACAAGGGTTGCAAGGGTGCGGAATGAAGCCCAAAGCGTGGTGTGGAACCCCCAAATTGGGCTTTCATCTTCTTTTCCCTGTAAAATAACCCAACAAACTGGTACTAGAACACACGTATTTCAACCCTCGCACACCCCTAGCACACGTCCCTACCACATCCCTACCACATCCCTACCACATCCCTATACCAATCCCTACCACATCCCTATACCACATCCCAATACCACATCCCCCTTGAAAACCCGAAAAAAAATCAACGCCTCGAACTTGTAGGCCACTTCGGCTCGGAAGCCGCTCAGGTCGTCCAGGGTCTGCTCCTTCATCTCCTCGACCTGTAGTCTTCTCTCGCTGCGAGCCGCAAAATCATGGAATTTGCTTCCCTACAAACCATCCAACTGGTGGTGACCTGCAGGAACAAAAACAGCACGCGACCAGTTGGGCCAGTCGAATCTTGCTGGTGCTATGCAGGGAATTTTGTGGAAGTTGCTTCCCTAGAAACCATCCAACTGGTGGCTTCCTTTCACCAACCCCCCGGGTTCATTTTAACTCATTCCCTACTGACCAGCAAGAATTTTGTTGGCTGCCCTTCTTGAAGGTTCTTTGAAGAGACACCAAAAGAAACCACCTGTCTGTTTCTTTCTTTCTTTTTGAGGGGGGGAGGTCCCTCTAAGTCGACACGGACCCTCTTCTCTTGATTTGCGCAGTGCGATTTGGATGCTCTCAAAAGTTTGAGCCGCCCGTGTCCTCTTTGACACTCTGAGGATTGCAAGGCGGTTGAGTGGACAAAGACCTGGTCTAACCCGTTTCGGGGTTGGTTTTGAGGGAAACCAAAAGAAGACCATTTGTTTGGAGGGTCACCTATTGTCATACAAACCGATTTTGAAAGTTTGACTCCCAATTCTGTTCACCCATCACCCATCCTCCCAACTGTGTTTTGAGGAAGTCAGGACCCTTGAATAGAATAGAGGGCGTACGGCTCCATTGGGAGCATGAAGAAACTACTGGTACACCTCCTCCCACTTACATGGCACCTGGAGGGTGCCCGACCTCCTCATTTCCAACCCCTTCTATTGACCTCCATGCAGTCTTCCGGTTTATGAGTGGCCTGTGGTTGCCTCTAGGCTTGTTTCGAAGAGAAGCCACACAAAAATGAGGGGTCATTGTATGGTTGGAGCAGGGATCACGTCACCTGGTGAAATCTCAAGTCGCCTATCTACAATAGAGCAAATCCCTAGTCATAGAACCCGGTTTCACGCATCTCTATAGGACATGGCTAAACATTAACCAGCAACCAGGATTTCCTGTAGACTTTCCTGCAATGAAAGCATCCCTGATGCTCTAGAAGGCGAGGTCAAGCACGCTTCTGACCAGCACGGGCCAAGAAGCCTTTTGGGTGTTCACGGGCTATAAAACGTGTCAAGGTTTCGACACGAGGAATCCATGCTAAAAACTCCATGAATCTGTGGGCCATTTCTCCTGAGAATTGGCTGATGACTGTCCCTCTTAAGGGGCTCTTCTATTTGCTCAAGTCCCCCGGAAAAATCACATATTTACAGTAGTGATACATTCCCTTTAAACCCAACAAAGGGGGGCAAAATATTCAGTTCAGCGCATGGAAGGGTTATTGACTGTCACCCCCAAGGATTGAGCATGTTTCCCGCGTGCATCCATGATTCACATCAAGAGAAGGGCACCTCCCCGGTGGATTCCCAGGTGGGTTTCTCCTGTTGTTCCTGAACAAAAAGACACCCCAAGACTAAACCCTGTTCAACCGGTTCCCATTAAAAGAATGGCCCAAGGGGACCCAATTTGGATGATGAAAATCCTGAAGGGTAAAAACGGGTGGTTATATTAACCCCTTGATTTAATGGTGGTTTGAAATTCAGGTGTCTTTCCGCCAACCCTGCTCATCCCCGCTGATAATTCGACTGGCAGGACTCCACCCTTTGGTTTCGTGTTAAAACAATCCCAAACACGTTCTTCCCCCGCAAGTCCCACATGGCTCTCTTCAGTTCCCACTGAAACCAACCCAAACAACATGATTCCCCGAACATGTTGTCCATTTCGAACCTGGGGGTTTCTCTCAACCAAAAAGCCAAACCAATAGAACACAGCCAAAAACAAACCAGGGAAACCAAGCCAAAAAAAAGAATGCCAACAAAAAACAAGAACTCGGCTTTTAGGAGGGGTTTCCCATTTACCCTCCACAAGAAACCCCTCACCAAACGCCAATGCCTCGAACCGCCGGGCGTCCCGACGATGCGCTGAACCGCCTTGGTCGCCAGCAGAGCCGCCACGGTGTCCTCGGGCGGAAATTCGCAGGTGTGGGTGGGGGATGGGGGTGAGCGCCCAAGCGGTTGGTTGGGGTGGGGGAGGGGGGTGGGGGCGGGGTAGGGGCGGGGTAGGGGCGAGTAGGGGGGCGGGTGGGGGGCGGGTGGGGGAGGGGTAGGGGTTTCAGGGTGGGTTGTTCAGGGTTGGGGGTGGGTTTCAGGATGGGCTGTGGGTTGTTTCAGGGCGGGTTGTTAAGGGTACACCCATTATTTTTCTTAGTCCCCTGGAAAAGAATGGAGCAAATGTGTGCAGTAGTGATAGATTCCCTTTGAAACCAACAAAGGAAAATAACAATGTTCATTTCAGCAAATGGAAGGTTAGGGGTTTCAGGGTGTAACCACCTGTTTGAGATCAAACTATCTTTCGCTAAATTGCAGATACAAAACAATCGGTCCTTAGATCCCGTTTGGAGTTCAATAAAAGAAACACGGATGATGTACATTCACTTTTGGTCGATTCCCAATGCCGGTTGCACTGTCAAGCAATTCCGTGCAAAGGAACACACCTCTCATTTCACCAGCCACGTATACAAAAAACATATTACACAAACAAACACACAATCAAGCATATTGGTCCATAGATATCATTTGGGTGATTTAAGCTTCAAAG